GTGTTGCTCATCACTGTACCTGCCGCATCGAAGGTGCTTGATGTAGAGGAAATACTGTTAAAAATAAGTCTCCTGGGAATTCCCTGGTGGTCCAGTGGTTAAGACTCCGTGCTCCCAATGCAGGGGGCCCGGGTTCGATCCCTGGTCGGGGAACTAAGATCCTACAAGCCACACAGTACGGCCAAAATAAAAAAAAAGTCTCCTGCCAACCCTGAAAACCTCTCCACAAGGCACCTTCAACACAACAATTTTTAACATTGCAGGTGTCCTGCAATTTGGCCATTAATTTTCAACCCTTCCTCTCTGGGTACTGGTGGAAATCTGTGCTAGACGTGGCCAGGGTAGGGTTTTTCTGCTTGATTCTCATCCTCAGCCTTCCTGGTGCTGCCTTTTGTGGGTCTGTGTCCCATGTTATTCTGTGGGTCTCGCTGGCCATGACGGGAACAAGGCATGGGGAACATTTCTGCACTCATGCTGGTTAGACCCCCCTCTCCTGTGTGCCTCCAGTGGACTCCCGTGTCTTCTGACACACGGTCACACACCAGTTTACAGTTCCCACCCCAGGAGTCCAGCATATAGTAATTTCTCAATAAATGTAAAGTAAATTAATTCACCAGCAAAAACTTTGATCTTGTGTCATGTTGCTTTTAGATGGCACTTGTTACCATGACGGTGGGCCAAGGTGTACATCTACCTTTCCCTCAGACAGTAATTCCTCCAAAAGGAGAGGCAGTGGGATGGTAGATGACCTCCCAGGTCCTGAGGAACGGTAAGCTGTGATCTTAGAAAATGAGCTAGGGTTCTATTGTTGATACTGGAGACTTAAGAGAATAAGAAATACCGTAGTTGTGTCCAGAGACCGAAGAAGTGTCATCATACAAGTCTATCAGGGTCTGCCTGGCCCTTCCAGAAGACAAGAGGGCTCGCAACAGGCCATCTGATCCAGATTCAGTGTCCAAGATGAGCTCACTCGCTGAGTGTGACCAACCGGGAAATAGAACATTCTGTGTGGGAGAAAGGCTAGAAAGCCAACTTAATATTGAATCCTTGCCTAGGGCACCCTTAGTCACCGGCTCCTTCATTAAACAACAAAGATCCATGAATTAAAGTTCTATTTTTTTTCCTTTTTTACCAAACGATATTATTTTTGCCTTTGTGTTCCTGTGAGAAACCTCTAAAAAATGGATATGTCAGTTGAGCCTGTTACAAAGAAAAACCAGAGGCGTTCTAGCTAGAAAAAAAGGAAAGTTTGGCCCAAAGAGAGTATAGAATAATATCACCTTGAGACACAGACAAGAGCCCCTTCCCTGGACCCTGCACTTTAGAAGGCCCCCTATCACCAACATACAAGTACAAACTTAAAGACCAACGAGCACCTATGTCCCTTGGATCTGGTGCTCATAGCTGCCACAGCACGACCACGACCCATAACCATCAACATACACTTTTTTTTTTAAACAATGAGTTTGTTTTTTATTTTATGTATTTATTTATTTATTTATTTTTGGCCGCATCGGGCCGTAGTTGTGGCACGTGGGATCTTTCATTGCAGCACACGGGCTTCTCTCTCTAGTTGTGGCATGCGGGCTCTCTAGCTGTAGCTCGTGTGCTCAGTAGTTGTGGTGCGTGGGCTTAGATGTCCTGCGGCATGTGGGATCTTAGTTCCCTGACCAAGGATTGAACCCGCATCCCCTGTGTTGGAAGGCGAGTTCTTAACCCCTGGACCACCAGGGAAGTCCCCAACATACACTTTTATGACTAACACTGGTCAGGCCCCAGAGAGGCTTCCCTACATCCTTTGCCCTATGTCTTCAAAATCCAAGGTGACAGCGCCTGGATGCTGTGAAGATCTGTGGGCTCTTCAGACATAAGCACATTTGGGGGAAACAATTAAAAGGGGTGGTAGCCCCATGACAGTAGTAGAAACCAGCACAGTCGCAGACCAGCCAGGAGTTTAACAGAGAGAACCAGGGAAAGAGGCAGCCAAGAAGAGTCTTCCCAGGATCCCACTCACCCCTGGGGCGTCCAGAAGGTGGGTGCGTGTGCTAGGCTGCACCCATGCAGGAGCAGTCAGAGCAGGATGCAGAGCAGATTTGAGAGCACTCTCTGAACCACACAGATCCATCAGCAAAGAGCAGGAGCCCTAGTGGCTCAAGGGACTGACGCACAAATTCTGACCAAATGCCGGCGGAACAGTAAGCTGCTGTGCCCCAGGGTGACTCCTGAGATTCGCACCCAGATAAAACCACACTCATCCTCGGTGGTCTGGAAGACTGTGCAGATGCCCAAGGCTGCACCCCCTCAGAGGGGATGGACATGGGGCAAAACTGTGAACTCCCAAACTGTGAAAGCTGTCTCCTAGCTACACACCTACATCCAATAGTTGAGGAATAAAAATATAACTGGTTAAGGGGGCTTAAGCACAACTTTTGACCAATAAGTGGCTATGCTGACCTGGGGTGATCTGTAGGAAATCAGGTTAAAAGATTTTTTTTTTAATTTTTTAAGAAAAAGAAAAGTCTGAGCAGAGACATCAGGAGATGCATACTCTACACACAAACCGGGAAGCTGACTTCACAGAATTAGTTAAGAATTAAACAAATAAACCAGTGTCCAGGGGCTTCCCTGGTGGCGCAGTGGTTGAGAGTCCGCCTGCCGATGCAGGGGACACGGGTTCGTGCCCCGGTCCGGGAAGATCCCACATGCCGCGGAGTGGCTGGGCCCGTGAGCCATGGCCACTGAGCCTGTGCGTCCAGAGCCTGTGCTCTGCAATGGGAGAGGCCACAACAGTGAGAGGCCCGCGTACGGCAAAAAAAAAAAAAAAACCCAAGGGAAACTATGTTTAAGAAGTAAAGGAGGTATGATAACGAGGACTCATGAAGTACAGAATGTTAATAAAGAGACGGAAATTGTTTTTAAAAAATGAAAATTCTGGAGTTGAAAAGTATAATAATCAAAACAGAAAATTCACTGGAGAGGCTCAATAATAGACTTGAGTTGAAAAAGAAATCAGTCACCATGAAGATAGATCAACAGAGATTATGCAATCTGAAGAACACTAAGAACACATAATGAGAAAAAATGAACAGAGCCTCAGAGAAATGTGCATGATGGGAAGGAGCAGAGAGAAAAAAATATTCAAAGAAATAACACTTGAAAACTTCCCAGATTTGATGAAAAAACACCAATCCACACATCCAAAACGCTCAGAAAAGTTCACCTAGAATAAATGCAAAAAGATCCACACCCAGACTCATCATAGTCAAAATGTTAAAAGCCAAAGATAGAGAAAATCTTGAAAACATCAAGATAAAAACAATTAATCTGTTATGTGTTAACAATAAGATTAACACCTGACTTCTCTTCAAAAAAAATGGAGGGGACTTCCCTGGTGGTGCAGTGGTTAAGAATCCGCCTGCCAATGCAGGGGACACAGGTTCGGGCCCTAGTCAGGAAGATCCCACATGACGCAGCACAGCTAAGCCTGTGTGCCACAACTACTGAGCCTGCGCTCTAGAGCCCACAAGCCACAATTACTGAGCCTGCATGCCACAACTACTGAAGCCCACGCACCTAGAGCCTGTGCTTCACAACAAGAGAAGCCACTGCAGTGAGAAGCCTGAGCACCACAACAAAGAGTAGCCCCGGCTCATCACAACTAGAGAAAGACTGCGTGCAGCAACGAAGACCCAACACAGCCAAGAATAAATAAATAAATTTATTTTAAAAAACAACATTCTAGTGCTTGTGGATGGGTATGCTGTGGGTTTTTTTTTTACATAAATTAATTTAATTACTTGTTTTTGGCTGCGTTGGGTCTTTGCTACTGTGCGCGGGCTTTCTCTAGTTGTGGCAAGCAGGGGCTACCCTTCGTTGCGGTGCACGGGCTTCTCACTGCGGTGGCTTCTCTTGTTGCAGAGCACGTGGGATCTTCCCAGACCAGAGATGGAACCTGTGTCCCCTGCATTGGCTGGCGGATTCTTAACCACTGCGCCACCAGGGAAGTCCCTGCTCACTCTCTTTTGAAAACTATAGTGCTTCGTGGAAAAATGTGCCTTATCTAGAGGACATCCCTCCAGGTTAGCTGATTTTAGCTTTCTGTCATCTTTTTTTTTTTTTTTTAAGTTTTTATTGAATTTGTTACAATATTGCTTCTGTTTTATGTTTTGGCCACAAGGCATGTGGGATCTTAGCTCCCCAACCAGGGATCGAACCCGCACCCCCTGCCCTGGAAGGCAAAGTCTTAACCACTGGATTGCCATGGAAGTCCCTAGCTTTCCATCATCTGTGAGCAACTTTACAACTCTGTACATTGTAGGTTGCTTATGAGCATTCAAATTATGCCCTGGCTGTGATTTCCCTCCCCCCTGTGGAAAAACCAGTTTTGCTCCCATCTAATTCATTTTCACAGTCCTTGCTCTATATTAGTGTGTGCTTCTGTACTTCTGTTTTGAATCAGTTATTACATCTGCCTGGTTCTCTCATGAGTGGAATAAAATCTGTAACACATTTTCATGTTTCATATCTGTATGAGTCATGATTTTACCTGCTGCTGAAAATAATCTGTTAACAAGTCATATCTGCAGGTAAGGTCTCACACATCCTATGGGCTGGTGTATAAAGAATATTATAAGCCTGTTTTAATTATAAGCATGCGGGATCTTAGTTCCCCGACCAGGGATCGAACCCACACTCTCTGCATTGGAAGCGCAGAGTCTTAATCACTGGACCGCCAGGGAAGTCCTTAAAGAAGATTAAAGTCAAAAGTCTTCCCTTAAAAAGGAGAGAAAAAATAAACCTTACTGAACACGAACATCGTGATGATATTTACAAAACTGTCGTCAGGTCAGTTTGCGCGAAAACTCATACTTCTCTGGATCTCACATCCAACCCAGGCACACACAGCAGCACGTTGGGCTGGAACCTGAGAACCAGGAAGCGAGAATTCTGAATGAACCCGCCCCTACCAGCTGGTTTCAAGAACTCCAAGTTCAACCTACCCCTGAGGTGGTGAGAGGAAGGCTGTGTACAGGAGCTCAGCTGGCGCTCAGGAGCTCAACTAGATCTCCATGCTCTGTGGAAGCCAGAAAGAAGAGTGATGGCCAGTGCCTTCTGCAAAACACGGGTGAGGTGAAAGAGACACTCTGTTTAGGCAAACCCATGCTGTGGGTAAGAAAGTCCCTTCCCACGGAGCACTTCCTTTGCCTGGCATCGCAAACAGGCACCAGGGTGTCGGGGAATTGTGTGTGCCAAGTACGCAGGCAAACTGAGGGCAAAGGGTCAATTAAGGCAAAGAGTTAGGACTGGACAGGGGTCTATTCAGAAAATGTTTACTATGGAGTCAGTGTTTGAGCACTTACAGGTTAGGTGTGCAGAGAGAGAGAGACAGAGACTGAATCAGTACTAAGAGAGTTTTCTTTCTTTCCAGCCCATCCCCTGGAATAGTGCCACGAGTTACAGTATCATGTTCATACCTTTTTCATCCTCCCTGGGGAAGGTGGTTTAAACATTTATTGGCACATCCCCTGGGTGGAAGCCAAGAACTTTGGGTACAGAACTGGAAGCTATGTGTCCAGAGGGATGCACACTGCCATGTGTGAGCAGGAAACCCAAGTCCCAAGTCCATCAAAGCCCTGCTGTTCCAAGCTGCACCTTTCCCACTTCAACTGCTTGAAGACACCTGCGTGGTTCAACCATACTGTCAGCAGTTATTTTAAACATTGAAAATCCACAGTACTTTAGGAAGGGCTGCATCCCTGGATGTTCTAAGTTTTCTACAACTGATCTTGATATTATTTCTCTGAGTTGTGCATGTGCCCCAAGTGTTCTGTGTTGTGTTTTGTTTTTCTTATCAAGGCACAGAGGTGCTGCTGTGCAATGAGTAAGAATACAGACTGTGGGCCAAGTGGATCTGGTTCCTAAGCCAGTGGCTCACGCCGTGATCTTGGGCAAGCTGCCTGAGCCCAGAGGCGATTTCCTCAATTGTAAAATGAGGCTGATAATAATGCTCAGCTCCTGGGGTGGCTGTGAGGGTTGCATTCGTGCACGTGAGGCATCTCACGGTGCACGTCTTCAGATGAGAGGCAGGGAAGGCTGAACAGAATGGCTATACATCAGTGCTTCTCAACGTGGCCACACATCAGAATCACCCGGGGAACTTAAAAAACACCCATGCGTGGAAAATACCCATCCTCAGAGATTCTGGTTTGATTGGTTGAGGTGCAGCCTGGGCAACAGAACGTTTTAAAGCTTTGGGTGATTCTAATGGGCACCCAAGATTGAGAGCTACTTTTCTAAATACTCGGGAAATGAGATATTCTCAGAGCTCCCATCCATGGCTGCACACTGGTCTTTCAGGGAAAGATTGCTCGGGGGTCTCAACCCTGAATGGGTTCCCTGTATTTTTCTTTTAAAACTCATGTTGAGTATGGAGTCTGTGCAAGGCCCTTCCAGCCCACGCACTTGTCCGGGGTCCTCGAGGGTTTGGAACCTGTTAAAAGTGAGGTTCCATGTAATGTGTGTGTGTTTCTCATTAAGTTCTACATTTAGAAATCGGCTTCAGAGACAAAGAAAAAGAAGGTGAACTTGTCTGAACAGAAGTAGTTTCTCTTCCTTCAAGCCATGCGAGCCTATAAGACTTCATAATGCAGGGAAGGCGGCTCCTTTCCCTGACAGACTCTGATAGACTCTGCATCTACCAGCGTGGCTTGTTAAGACAAAAGGGTGTGCACAGCCCAGCCGGGAGATCCGAGCAGTTAAACTATTTGCTGTCTACATCAAAGCCCCAGGACATCCAGAAGTTCCCTGCATGGCCCCGCCCACCATCATGAGGCCCTGGGCCAAGCTGTCCAATGGCTCTTGCTTTGGGCTGTGCTTACCTTCTTCCCTTCGCCCTGCCCTCCTTTATTAAGGAACCTAATACAACGCCTACCAGGTAAGATTCTGACCCTTTCCAATTTCCCCGTGATTTATTAGAAGAAATTGAAAAATTACAGCCCAGGGACGACTGGGGAAATCTGAGACACCTCTGTGTTTACAGTGGTGTCAGCGATCAGGAAGGTTGGCAGAACCACGGGCAAGGAAGCTCAAAGGGGAGACTTGGGGGATGTGGAGGTGGTGTAACAGGGAAACAGAGTGCCATGGAGCTTGTACATGGAGGAGGTAGAAGCAGAAGTTAGAGAACTATTGGCCTGGACTCCTGAAGGCATAAGTAGAAAATAAGACTATTTTCCCCTCTGGGACTGTGAGTAATAACCCCAGCTTTGGGGTTAGTTCTGACATGCCATTCTCTGTGTCCTAAAGCAAAAGATTTATCCTGTGAATTCCATTAATTTCTAAATCATACAATCCCTGAGACGTTTGTCAGTAAAATGGGAGATCGCTCACTTCGGGAGGTGGCTGAAATTCTGGGTCCCAAGCTAATTCTTCAAAAGGACCCTCTAGACCAGTTTTCTTATAAACACATCTCCAGCAGTGAGAGATCCCTTTCTTTCCAGATTCAATGTATTTTGAATGATTTTGTTTCACTATTCTTAGAATTTGAAAGTAAAACATGCTCTCACATCTGCCTGCTAATGCAGGGGACACGGGTTCGAGCCCTGGTCTGGGAGGATCCCACATGCCGCGGAGCAACTAGGCCCATGAGCCACAACTACTGAGCCTGCGCGTCTGGAGCCTGTGCTCCACAACAAGAGAGGCTGCGATAGTGAGAGGCCCGTGCACCGCGATGAAGAGTGGCCCCCTCTTGCCACAACTAGAGAAAGCCCTCGTACAGAAACGAAGACCCAACACAGCAAAAATTAATTAATTAATTAATAACCTCCTACCCCCAACATCTTCTTAAAAAAAAAAAATGCTCTCATGAAGTTTTAAAAAATACAGAAAGGTGAAGCAAGAAATAAAGGTCTCTCCATTATACCCCCCATCTCTACCCTTAATGCTTTGGTGTACAAATAATTACTATATTATTGTAGCTAACACTTCTTTAGCATTCACTGTATGTCAGGCACTATGCTTACGAGTATATGAGTACGCTGAGACTCAGAGAGCTTAAATGAATGACTCAAGTTCACTCGGCTGGTAGCCGACTCAAACCCAGGCATTTTGGTTCCATAATCTGTGCTCTTTACCTTATGTTAGACAAGCCATTACAACAGATGGGGAAATAGATAGGTAGATAGGTAGATGATAGGTAGGTAGGTAGATAGATAGATAGACAGACAGACAGGTAGATTGTTGGATGGTTGGATGGACGGATGGATGATGGATGGATGGATGGACCGACAGATAGGTATCACACTATACACATTGTTCCACAGGTTGACTTTTTAAATCGACACTATATCGTTGGTGCCATGTTGGCACCTATAGATCTACTCCCTTCCTTTTCATGGCTGCATAGCATTCTATAGAATGGATATAGTTTATTTAACCAGCCCCTATTGATGGGCACTTGGGTTTTTCACATACCTTTGGGTGCTTATGTAAGTATTCCTGTAGGTAGATTTCTAGAAGTGGAATTGCCAAGATAATGGATTATGTTCACATTAAATGTCACTGGATACCATCAAGTCATCCTCAGAAAAGGCTACACCGACAGGTGTGTGAGTTAACTCTCTCCAACCTCTGTAGCAACACTGGATCTTGTGAATGTTTATACGTTTTATCATATGATAGGTAAAAGCGTGTTTCTCTTTTTAATTTGCATGTCTCAGGCCACTGGTGAATCTGAGGATCCTCTAAAGTTTATAAATCACTTCATTGTATGAATATACCACACATTGTGTATCCATTCTCTTATTGATGGACATTTGGGTTGTTTCCAGTTTCTGGCTATTATGAATTATAAGCAAATCTGCTGTGGACACTGTTGTACAAATCTTTTTGTGCACATATTTTTATTACTCTTGGGTCAATATCTAGAGGTGGAATTGGTGTGTCATAAGGAAGGTGTATGTTTAGCTTTAGAAGAAAAGGCCTGACTTATTTCCAAAGCAGGTTTGAATTTGTCCATTTCTCCCTTCAGTTCCATCAGTTCTTGTTTCATGTAATTTGAAGCTCTGTTCTCTGATGAATACGCATTTAGGATTGTCCTGACTCCAACAGTGACTGTAAAGTTACTGAATCTGCCCAAGATTTTAAGGGCTAGGAAAAGGGCCGCATATGGAGATTTCTCAAGAAACTGTTTATATAACTACATGGACGCCATAACAGCAGAGGTCCCTGGAGGAAAGGAGTTTTTGTGGGTTGAGAGGTTCAAAGAGAAGATGGAGTCTGGGACACAGGTAGGGCTTGGATGAATGCTCAGGGCAAGGCACTCATGTGGTGAGAAAAGGACGAACAAGGAAGCTGGCCTAAATAAGTCCTAAATTATGGAAGTCCTTGCTTCCACGGTGCCCAGACAGAGCTCCTTCCTTCACGTTCCTACCATGCTCAAACGTTCCACAGCACAATACGTGTTTCATATTGTAATGACACGGCTGTCTGTTCACTAGACTTCCTCTCTCCTGTGGCTGGGAAACACGCCTTTCATCCGTCATCTCCAGCATCTAACATGAGATGTGGCAAATATGGTGGCCTCTCGACAAATATTTGCCAAGTATGTATATTTTTCCAACAATCAACAGTTTGCTTTTTTTTTTTTTTTTTTTTTCCTTTGGCCACGCCGCACGGCTTACAGGATCTTAGTTCCCCAACCAGGGACTGAACTCTGGCCGCAGCAGTGCAAGCGCCGAGTCCTAACCACTGGACCGCTAGGGAATTCCAACAGTTTGCTTTTAAGCAGGGATGGACCCATGATAGGATTCAAAGCACATCTTTAAGACAGATCTTGATGCGAAAGCTCAGCTTCTCTGTACACCGGTGCCGAATCAAATCACGGAGACAGAGTTTTGGGTGAAGTAGAAAAGGAGAGCTTTATTACTTTGCCAGGCAAAGGGGGCCACAGTAGCCTAGTGCCTCAAGAACTGTGCCCCCCTCCCTGGGGAACAGGGAGAGGTCTTATAGTCAGGCCTGTGGTCAGGGGCGTGCAGTAAGGATCAAGGCAAGAGCTTCAAAAGGGTGGGGTTGCTGACAAGATGAGGGTGTGTACAGGGCCTCAGGTGGTCGTCTTTCTCCTAATCTTGATGAGCTTCTCTGTCCCTTTAATCTCACCTCAGGTGCTTTCCTGGCTGCTCCTCCCTTGATTAGCAACCGTTCGAATCTGCCCTTTCAGCTAAGGTCATGGAGGCTGGAGTCTTGCCTACAAGAAATGGGGGACAAAAAGGCCTCCATGCCTGGGAGCCCCACCGGGCCCTGGTAGGCATCAATCTTTCAAAAATCAAGGTTGACAGCTATGGTCTTAACAGGAATGCGTCTTTCCCTTTTCCCTGTGGACAAAGTTATCTTTGTTACCTATGCTTTATTTTTTTTTAAAAAAAGGTCCACTGGGGCTTCCCTGGTCGCGCAGTGGTTTAGAATCCGCCCCCCAATGCAGGAGACACGGGTTCAAGACCTTGTCCGGAAAGATCCCACATGCCACGGAGCAACTAAGCCCGTGCACCACAACTACTGAGCCTGCGCTCTAGAGCCCGCGAGCCACAACTACTGAAGCCCACGTGCCTAGAGCCCGTGCTCCACAACGAGAGAATCCACCGCAATGAGAAGCCCGCGCACCGCAACGAAGAGTAGCCCTCGTTCGCCGCAGCTAGGGAAAGCCCGCGTGCAGCAACAAAGACCCAACACAGCCAAAAATAATAAATAAATAATAAAATAAATAAATTTATTTTTTAAAAAAAAGGTCCACTGAATCATACAGATATGAGGTGACAGGACTAGGTTCACACAAACTCATTCTTAGACTCACAATTGGGAATGTAGCAGACGCTGGGAGCCATAAAGGTGCAAACATGGAGAGCTGGGGGTGAGCAGTTCATTTCTGCCCTCGGCAACCAGTTCCAGCTCCCCAAACTCCATGCCACCGCTAAGGGTTCTTTATTGGTCAGAGTAAGTTTCCAGACCCATTGCCAACAAGTGCAGCTTAGTTTTGGGTAGTGGATGGTGATGGCCCTTCCCTCGTGTCTCCTGGAGACTGGTCTGATGTCCACTTGAGACACAAAGATAGATACTAGATATGCTTCTCAAGTCCCTACAGACTTCAGCCTTCATCCAAAGTCATCTCTGTCTCTAGGAATCAGCATCCAGAGAACATTAAGGAAAGGTCTCCAGAGTTACTGCAAAAGGCTACATCCCAGGCACCCACTACTGGAAGCAGGACGACCGCCCACATGGAGTCAGTGTAGGGGACCAGCATGCGGGACACAGCCCCCGAGGCCACAGCCAACACAGTTGGAGAGGGCAGAGGAGCGGAGGCTGGCAAGGCCAGTGCTGAAGGAGCCAGGCAGAGCACCCAGCACAGCCAGGATGGCAGCAACAGAGACACAGGTGAGCAAGGACGCCATGGGGAACACGCTGCCTCCGAGAGCTCAAGTCGAGGGGGTGGCCTCTGGCTGGACGGAGGCGCCGTCGCTGAACAGTCAGGACCTGAGGACAGCCAAAGGGTCAGGGGACCAGAGTGCGAGGCCGACGGCCCCAAGGATGGTGCCCACGAAGCTGCAGGGCAACGTGGCCGCCACAGCAAGGACGCCCCTTCCAGAAAATCAGGCTGGGGTGCAGACCCCTGCGGGAGCGGGGCCGACGGGAAGGGGAGTCAGAGGAACCACCAGAGAGGCTGTCCACCCAAGGACAGAGCCCAGGCCACCGCGTCCTCAGCCCCTCTCCAGAGCCCCACCACCCAGAGAGGCCAGAGGTTGCGGGCCGCCAACTTCAAGTCTGAGCCGCACTGGGATTTTGAGGAAAATACAGCCTGGAGGTGAGCGGCCTCCAGACGGGGAGTTTTTCCTGCCGCCCCCCCCTGCCCCCCCACCGAGGCCCCACCTCTCCCTTCCCTCCCAGACTCCCATCCTAAGCTCTGCCTCGGCCCACCCATGCTCTCCCCCAGCACTGCTCTCATCCCATCCTTCCTTGTTATAATGGCCAGAAGCAGGGCAGGGAAGGCAGGTCCCAGGCTGTGAGCGAGAAGGCCCTGTCCTGGGCCCCTAGGAGCCCAGAGCGTCATCAATCCCAGTGAAAGAGTGTGACCTGCACTGGAATCCCGTCCTGCAGCAGGGGAAGGGCCAGGAACCAGCAGGGACTAAGGGACAAGAACACCCAGGCCAGCCCTGTTCTCCCTGCATAGATAATTCTACGGCCCTTAGAGAAACAGCCGGGGCCCACAGCGCTGGAAGGGAGCCTTTAGAGCATGGATGTTCACACACATCACTGCAACCACGCACAGCCCTTGGACCCACAGCATGTTCACAGACTGGCCCACTCCTCTCACACATAGGAAGGTACATTTGCCTTGAGGGCTGAGGACCACTGGTTCCTTGGGAGCCCTCCTGACCACAGTAGGCTGGGACGATCGATGGCGAGGAGGGCGCCAGATGGCCCTGGGGAATAGGATGAAAGGGGTAGCAGAGACCGACGCCTTCCCAGCTTTGAGGCCTGCTTTCTGCCCCTGCCCCCCCCCACCCCTCCCCAACCAGCCCCTGCCCCCCGCCACCCCCGCCCAGCCAGCCCTTGGCCACGGCCTTCCTGGGCCTCTCCCTGCCTGACCCGTCCTGCATGTAGACCTGCCCTGACTCAGTGAAGATCAAAGCCTCCAAGTCACCCTGGCTCCAGAATCTCTTTCTGCCCAACCTCACCCTCTTCCTGGACTCCAGCCACTTCGACCAGAGCAAGTGGGGTCGCCTGGAGCCCTTCGCTCCGCCTTTCGGCTTCATGGAGCTCAACTTCTGTGAGTCCTCGGCCCCGGGGGCCGGGGTGTGTGCTAGGCCCCAGCAGAGGGCCATGCTTTTTGTGTCTGGTCCGCCTCTTCCCTGGGGGCCACCAGCCCTGGGAGAAATGCCACTGGATCCCTGGCCCTTCCAGGGCTCTGAATGGAGCCCCCTCGTTGCAGTGGTGCAGAGGGTCGTGCCCTGCTTCCCCCCCGCGCCCCAGGAGCAGCTGCTCCTGGCCAGCCTCCCTGCCGGGAGCTCCCGGTGCGTCACCTGTGCCGTGGTGGGCGACGGGGGCATCCTGAACAACTCCCAAGTGGGCCCAGAGATAGACGGCCATGACTAATTGTTCCGGCGAGCTCCCCTTCCCGGCCCCTTCCCACCCCCTCTCCTGCAGAGCTGGGCTCTTCTGAGAGATCTGAGAGGGTGTTCCGTGCCTGTATCTGGAAGGCAGGGTTCCTGGGCTCTCCTGAGAGTTTCTGTAAATCAGTGCTGTCTCCCGGTCTCTCCTTCCTTTCCACGCATCCCCCTTCTGTACTCACGTGTTCTGTCTGATTTTGTCTTTCCATCTAGACTGAGTGGAGCTGTCATTAAGGGCTACGAACAGGATGTGGGTACTCGGACGTCCTTCTACGGCTTTACTGCCTTCTCCCTGACCCAGTCACTCCTTATACTGGGCAATCGGGGTTTCCGGCATGTGTCTCTGGGAAAGGTGAGCAAAGAGGAATCGGCCTGGCCGCACACACCGCAATGAAGAGTAGCCCCCACTCACCGCACCTAGAGAAAGCCCGCGTGCAGCAATGAAGACCCAACACAGCCAAAAATAAATAAATAAAAAATTTAGAAATATAAAAATAAAAGTCCTGTACACCTGAAACTAACACAGCGTTGTAAATCAACTGTACTTAAATTTTTTTAATGGTAAAAATAAATAATAAATTGCAAAAAAATATATAAAGGTGTTTTTTTGGGGGGGGGGGCAGGTGGTCCCAGAACATTTTTCTTAATGTTCTAATAGAATCTCCATGAAAGGACTCATAACCATTTGGTTAAAGTTCCCCTCCCGCCCGTCCCGCCTTCTACTTCAGTGATGACACCTGGGGTGTTCAGCTTGCTCTCTGGTTGTGCAATCGTCCTAAACTGGCTGTCCTCTTTGGGCTGCTGAGAACTTAGCATTTCCTCAGCAAGCAGGCCAGGAGTCTAGGATCTGAGATGAGATAAGAAAACTGCTTCCACATTTGTGGGCAAAGGCTGAACAAACAGCACAGCATGAGCCCCCTATGGAAACCGAGGGAGGAAGTGCCACTGTTGCTGGGGCCCCCAGATGTCAGCAGCAGCTTCACCCCAAAGACAGGGCCTAAGAACAACCCAGCTCCCCAGGAAGCTGTCCTCCAGGTCTGCCAAATTCTGAAGGCTTAAAAAAATGACCACATATTTGTTCATGATTTTATGGATCAACAACTGGGGCTGGGCTCAGCTCCCTTCTCCTGTGGTCTGGGGTCACCCATGCAGCTGCAGGCCTCCAGAGGCTGCACTGGAGCTGGATGGTCCAAGATGGCCTCACACTTCTGTCTGGTTCATGCTGGTTCTCAGCTGGGAGCCTCCATCCTCCTCTGTGAGGCCTCTCATTCTCCAGGGGCCTAGCCTGAGCTCCTGGACGTGGTGGCAGAGGGTTCCAAGAACACAGGAGCAGAAGCTACAATGCCACTTGAGGCCGACTGTCAGAAGGCACACACTGTCATTTTGGCCACATTCTAGTGGCTGAAGGAAGTCCAAGGCCAGCCCAGAGTTAAGGGGTGGGGAAACAGCCTTGACCTCTTGTTGGGAGGAGTGTGTACACTCAAGGCAGTTGAGGGTGGGAGGACTTGTTGCAGCATATCCGCCAGCAACACACCTGGTGACACCAGGCTTTCATGTGTAGCACTCCTATCACACCATCGGATGCCTGGTAGCATGGGCAGATACAGCATTTCACCAAAAAGAGCCCCATCTTTCTCATGGTCCAGTCTGTCCGTGACATGTCACTTTTCAGCCTACACAGGCCTAAAACAGCTAACGTCTATATAGTGAGTGCTTCCTACATTTCCGGAACTGCTGAAGGCACATTTAATGAGAGTAGCAATTCTTATGAAGTTGGTACTGTGATCATTCCCATGTTACAGATGAGGAAACTGAGGCATAGTGACTTAAGGAACTTGTCCCAGCTCACAGTCAGTAAACAGTGGAGCTGAGATTGTGGGCTTTGCAATCCACCCTCTTGAGCATCCCACTCTACTGCCTTTTGAGGGTCTGCCTTGGAGGTATCTAGAGGTATCTTCTGCCTTGGCATTCCTCTCTCCTTCCTTGTCTAATCCGAGGGGGCCAAGTCCAGTGATTTGGAGGGGGATGGTGGCTGGAGCTCATATCCCTGCCCCTCTCTCTCCCCGACTGCAGCAGCCAGGGAGGCCAGCAGACAAGGCTTGGCATGAACATCTGAGCTCCAGGGTTCACTGGGGAAGGAGGCAGTGAGGACTTGATTTGTTTTGATGAGGTCGGCAACTGTCAACAGGGACCAGCAGCAAAGAGGAGACCTTGCCTGATCTTGTGCTCTGGGGAAAGTGCAGGTACGTGAGGTTCCCCACGAGGACTCAGCCAGAGCAGATGGGAGGGTGGGGCAGGTCTGTGCAGTTCTGGGTACCAACTGAAGGCCACTGGCTAGCAATTCCCTCACCATATACCCCTGTGTACACACACACACAATTTCAATTATGTCCTCTTTTTTTGAGCCCAGCTCTCAGTGCTCTCAGGTATAAAGTCAAGTCCAAATAGGTGGTCATGTGACTTGTCACATGAGCTGAGCCTGTGTCCAACTTCGATCTTGCCACTGGAACTGTCCACTGGGGACAACACCACTGTGTCACTCTCACCAGGTATCTGCCAGAACTCCAATGGGCTTTGATCATGTACAAGAAATCCTTGTAAATTTCTGCATCACTTACAAGAAATCCATGTTTATCCCTGCATCTCCCAATTGGCCCAGGTGGAGCATCCAGGGGGCAGAAGCTTCTCCACCTGAGCTTGTGCTCTGGCTGCTGGCCGGCAGGGAGAGGACTGACTGTCCTTCAGCTCCCATGGTGGGAAGGAGACCCTTCCCTCTGTTTACTTGACAACTGCAAAATAATCAGGTGTTCGGATTCTAGATAGCTGAGTATAAGGCAAATTTCCATTACATATGAATTTTATTGTTTTCCACTCAGTATTAGCCGAATCGATTTGTGTGGTTTTTTTAAGACCTTTTTTTTTTTTTTTTTTTTTGGCCATGCCATGCACCTTGGGGGATCTTAATTCCCTGACCAGGGATTGAACCCGGGCCCACGGCAGTGACAGCACAGTGTTCTAACCACTGGACCGCCAGGGAATTCCCAAGACTTTATTTTTTTAGAGCAGTTTTAGGCTCACAGCAACACTGGGAGGAAGGCACAGTGATTTTCCATAGATCTGCTGCCCCTACACATGCACAGCCTCCACCATTACCAGCATCCCCACAAGAGCAGTACATTTGTTGATGAAATAGATTCGTTTTTACATTAAGAAAATTACATTAAGACTTCCCTGGTGGCACTGCGGTTAAGAATCTGCCTGCCAATGCAGGGGACATGGGTTTGATCCCTGGCCCGGGAAGATCCCACATGCCGCGGAGCAACTAAGCCCGTGCGCCACAGCTACTGAGCCTGCGCTCTAGAGTCCGCGAGCCACAACTACTGAGCCCACGTGCCACAACTACTGAAGCCCGCACGCCTAGAGCCCATACTCCGCAACAAGAGAAGCCACCGCAATGAGAAGCCTGCGCACCGCAACGAAGAGTAGCCCCCGCTCGCCGCAACTAGAGAAAGCCCGCACGCAGAAACGAAGACCCAATGCAGCCAAAAATAAATAAATAATTTTTAAAAAAAAGAAAAATAAAATTGGTTTCAGATTTGCGGATTCAAAACATAATGGACACTTTTACCAATGACTGTATTTTCTACAGATGAGCAGATTTCAATTGTGAATTCGCAAAGGACCAGTTCCTGCATTTGGACCTGTGTACATGCCATAGTAATGCTCAACTAAATACAAGTATACTAAGGGGTGGCTAGTGTTAAAAGAAAACCAAAGGGAAGAAGAGGGGCTGCTCCCACCCCTGCTCCTGTGGGAATTGGCACTTTATCTCTTCAACTGAGAAATATAAACACAAAATTGAAGTCCATCTACAACCCGTGAGAATTTTCTAGTGCGTTGCTTTATGCTGAACATTACACAGTAGGTTAGCAAATCTGAACACCACAAAGTTTACAGACTAGTAAAGCAACTTTGACACAATTTAAATTTCTCCAGGAACTCGGGCTGCACATGAAGACTTTGAAGTGCCCCCCACTACGATCATAAATTATTACTGTAAATTCTCTATGGTATTTTGATAGCTTTTATGATATTTAGAGTATAGATAAATGGGAACATATTTTGTTCTGAGTTGTATATAAATTTGGATAGATAGGAAAGAATAAACACAGATCATAAGACAGAAAGGGAAAGGAAGTATGTACTTGGTGTGTATCCACTAAAACACAGACATACATTCACACCATAATCATACACCATTTCAAGGCTACCTCAGTCCACGGTATTAGCTAGCATTAAGAATTTCCACGGATGGGACTTCCCTGGTGGTCCAGTGGTTAAGAATCCACCTTCCAATGCAGGGGATGCAGGTTCGATCCCTGGTCAGGAAACTAAGATCCCACATGCCACGGGGCAACTAAGCCCATGCACCGCAACTACTGAGCCCGTGTGCCGCAAACTACAGAGCCCACATGCTCTGGAACCCGCGTGCTGCAACTAGAGAGAAGCCCTTGCACCGCAACGAAGATCCTGTGTGCCGCAACTAAGACCCAACACAGCCAAAAATAAAATAAAATAAATAAATTATAAATTTTTAAAAAGAGATCTTGTTGCATAAATATATATTAAAAAAAAAAAGAATTTCCATGGAAACAGTGTAGCAGAGGGATTAAGAGTTCAGACTCTCCTGACTTGTAAGCTGCTTATTCATAGGGTATACCTTGGGAAGCCAAAATGACAAAAAAGGTCAGGGTACTGAAGACAAGGATTTGTGCAGGAAGGAGTCAGAAATCTTCACAGAAATCTGAGTCTATTGGTGAATACTAATTTGAGCCAGTATAGTGCAAGAGTACACAGAGCCAAGCAAAGGAAAACCACCAAAGAAAGAACAACTACTAAGAATCGGGGAGCTGAATGAACCAGAGCTCACACAGCTCAAAAAGTCATGACCAGCGACGCCAGATGGATACTCAGATCTACAAGAAGACAGCAAGAATTCTGGAAATGATAAATACGTGGGTAAATATTTCATTGCTCAATGTTTTTGAAAGATGATTGATTATTTAAAGCAAAGACAACAGTGATGAACTATAGGGTGTTTAACACATGTAGAAGTAAAATGTACAATAATATTGGTACAAAGGATGGGATGGGGAAATGGAAGTATACGGTTTCTACATTATATGTGAAATGGCATGCTGTCATTTAAAAGTAGACTATGATAAACTAAAGATGAATATTGTAAACCTTAGAACAACCATTTTCAAAATAGCCCAAAGAAATACAGCCAATAAGGCAATAGAGGAGATAAAATAGAGTAGGAAAGAAAAAAAAACAATGAAGAATACATGAAACT